TTAATTCTATATCCAGAAATGTCTCCATAATCTTTTAGACAATGCATAAGTTGAGGTATTGAAGTAAGAGGATGTTTTATAAAGAGCAAGATGTCATCCGCAACATCTGCATTTTCAAATGGTTCTAGAATGGTTTATTGCAAATTTTTTGTTTTGAAATTATTTTATCATTTAGCTGCAGCAGGTGTGTATATATACAGCGCCCTCCATAAGATGTTAAGATGTGTTAAAAGCCTTAAAATAAATTCAGTTTTTATTGCAGAAGCACATTCTCACACTGAAAATTGTAGAAAAATGTAACTCTAACTACACTAAATTAAGTGTTGGCAAAAGGGGGTGGTACAAAGTAATTGTGGCTCACATGATTTGATGTGAAAGAATTATTTTTTAATGTGGGATTTTTTTCACACTGAATAAATTAAAGGTTGAATTTTCCTCTTTTTTTCATTGTGGTCCTATATTATTTAGAAAAAAACTGAATTTGCTAGAAGCTAAAGAACACATCTTAACCTTAATTATGGAGGGCGCTCTATAGTGGAGCAGTGAGCAGCTGAAGAGATTTCCTTGTGGAGACTAAAAACAGAGCTAGAAATGTACAAATGTTGGACTCATCCTGTGGTAGGAGACACCACATGACAAGACAGACGTGTGAAAGCAAACATGAGAAGGTCACCAACGTAAAAGGTGACGCCGTGTCACGACTTATTTCTGCTGCCCCGGGATGAACTGTAAATCCAAAAGCATGGCATGTACTGACAGAGCCTGATGTGCTGCCCTCCTGCACACATATTGTAAATACTGCTGTTTATTGCTCTTACTCTTATTTTTATTGTTTGAGCTTATGTCTTTTATTTCTTGTAAAAGAGATGTAAGACTCACTGGAGTCAAATTCCTCGTTCATGTGTACAAACTTGGCCAATCAAGTTGATTCTAATTCTGATTCCAACATCAGTTATGCTTTTTTTTTGTTTGTTTGTTTTCCTGTGACCACTTCCTGTCATGAAAATATCCCACATTCTTCCATAGTTTGCCCCGTAGATCATCATGTCTAAAGAGACGTCTGCAGAGCTGCTGAGCGTTTACATTAAAGAGGCGTTTAAGACTCTTCTTCTGCACAAAATGGACCAACTGTGGGCTGAACTTTTTGTACGTTGGAAAAACAGTTGTTATAAAGAAGCGCTGTGGAGAATATAAACATGGATTAGAGTAGAAATGTGCTGCTGCTGCTGCTGCACATGAAGGATGCTGGTAGAAAACAGTGAATGATGTGAGTTGCAAAGCACTCAGAACTGTTTCTAACACAACAGCTGCACATCAGAGCTTTGCGACGTTAATTGTCGTAACTATGCTGAAGACTTGGTTTCGGGCTCACACTGTTGCATAATGAAGGAAACGAGGAAATCACTTCAGTTTGTGAGCAAATCCTGGTGAAGTGAATAAATAAAACGTGATGGATACCAATAGACTAATCCATTTTCTAATTTGTCTTCTATCAGCTGCAGTGCCGGCAGTGTAAAACTGACACCATGCAGCAGAAGCATTACTTCTGCATTTTCTGCATCACTGACTGAATACATGTAGGTTCCCATGGCAACACAACACATGCAGCTGGCTGCTGTAATCGCGCGGCTTTGTTCGTTAAAATTGCTAACAAACAGCTTAAGCAGCTAAGCACATTCCCTCAGCTGAAATCGGCTCAAAAAGAGTTGAAGCTCTGAACAGAACCTGGTCCGGACCGGGTTGGCTCCACAGCATCAGTTACCATGGTGATCTAAAGAGAGACTTTGGGCTCAACGTACTTGTTAACCAACTAATCACGATTCGTAGCGCAGCTCACAAACAACATCAGTTGTTACTCACTGCTGAATTTTTACTCCATGAAGTTTCATGGAGAACATCCCCCGTTTTGATTCCAGTATCCAGCTCTCCTCTTTACTTCCATAACAAACATTTTTTAAACCCCAGAGACAAACGTGTTTACACAAACGAGTGCTCACAAATAAGACGGAGGACTGCTGTGTGTGGATGGGAACAAAAACCCGGAAAAATGTCCTCAAATAACACGCTGCAGGTTGTGATGCTTCATGAGAGCGAATAATGTCACAAACCTCTGAACTTCTGTTTTGGTTTTCGTACCACACAACTAAAAATGTTTTTTTTGTCCTAATTGCCATCAGACCTCAACTGACCAGCTCACAGCTCAGTGTCTTAAAATAAGCGAGTGAAAAGTTGTTCCTTGACTCTGGACAGCTTTACGGTGGTCAGAATAATTGCTAACAAAACTCGTTTATCTTTGTTGCATTTTAATTTGTTAGAATAAAGGTGGTGGAATACAGATAACACTGTGGTGCATTGGTTTTAAATGTCACATCAGCTCTTTTAATTTCCCGTCATTGGTGTAAAAGTCAATATTCAGTGTGTTGGGTTTCTTATAAATCAGTCAGTTGGCTTTAGTACAGTATTGAACTTTACCCTTCATAAGGAACTCCTTGAAATACTTGGAAAATGAACATTTCAACCCAACGGTGTTACTGAAGGATATTTCAAGATATTTTTACTTTTGTGACTTAAAAAAAATAAAATAAAATGTTGCAAATCAAGATTAATAAAGCTACCATATATGGTAACTTGCTGGTCTATGGTTTAAAAAAAAAAAAAAAAAGGAATTCATAATAAATAACAGAAAAAGTAACAAATTTCAAAAAACACGTATTTAAAAAAAAAACAAAACATTTCAGTTTGAGGTAATACTTACACAACCAGTAAAGTATTTATAAAGTGCTTGGCAACTTCATTTAGTACTATTTTTCTTGGGGTAGTGGTATTAATGGCACTAATCTCAAAAAATAAATCAAAGTGGAGTTCAATGCAAACCGTCAGAACTGATGAAGCCTCTTGGATGAACGGTGAAACGTCTTTAAGAAACTCAGTTGCTACGATTAATCCATGAGAACTTCAATGCAAACCAGTAACAAAGCGTTTAGAAAGTGCCTGGAACATTTGTTTAGTGACGTTTTTCTTGGGGTAGTGATACTGGCACTAATATAGAAACTAAATCAAAGTGGTTCTTCAACCTAAAGGAGAGGCCCAGGGTGGACATATTGAACGTCCAAAGAAGTTACCAAATATGCTCACTTGCCCATAAAGAGTCAACAAACAACACTCTCAGATTTCCTGATGTGTCGTCTTTCTGTGGTTTTTTTTCCAGAGGAGGTGTTGCGCAGCGAGGCGGCCCACTGGTGGTCGCCCGACGGCTCCAGACTGGCCTACCTCACCATCAACGACTCCCTGGTCCCCACCATGCTCCTGCCCCGCTTCACTGGCTCCCTCTACCCCCGAGGGAAGGAGTATCCTTACCCAAAGGTGGGCGCTTCATTTCCAGAATTGAACTCCTGATTAAAGGGGGGCGCTGACACAGTACAGAAGCACACTGATGTTTGGTGGGACTATTTTCCGCGCGCTGTTTTCTTGTGATAAAAACCTTCAGCGTACTTGATACTGTACATGAACCTGACTTTGCTATAACCTGAAAGAGGACATACCTCCTTTTATTGCGGCTTCATTGTATCAAACCAGAGCTATGAATAATACAACTGCAGGCTCTCTGCTTAAGCTTATCCATGAAGGTTAGTGAATCCTTTTCTTGTTTAATTCATGTTAACGCTGACTTGCTCCCTTTGAAGAGGGATGCCTGTAAAGATCTGTGGCACTGGGAGGGAAAGGAGTGTGATACGCTTTTGTAGGGCAAGTTAACACACCTCAGCCTCCCCATCCCTTGATGTGGATGTTTAGCAAATCAAACGCCTCGTAGATGCGAGATGGGTTATGGAAAACCGGTGGAATGAGGGTCACGAGGTGAAAGCCAACCTCATTTGTTGGTTCAGACCTGACAGTAGATGGAGGGTTCCTCGGAAGAATTCTAATTAATGAAGCGCTGTGTTTAATCTTAGCCTTGCTCGTACAGTGTATAAATATTACATTTACACACAGACACACACATACAAATTCTGTTCCTTACATCCCTGAGTGAGGTCGGGGTTGTAATAGTGTGGGACTAAATGAAACGGAGATTTAATTGCCTTCTCATTCCTTTCGGTTATGAGAACACTGACGCTGCACAGCAGTCTGACAGTTGCACCACTGCTTCAGTCCTGCGGGGATAAATTTGTGCTGTGAATCAATACATAGCTAAAAGCACACCCTACATGCTGCTTTTAATAAGAATCACGTGTTTGCTTTTAAGAAATTGTCTAGTTATGGTCGACCTTATCAACAAAATGTTGACAAACTGCTGCGTGACACTGACTGGCTTTTATTATGGCCGACACCAAACCAGAAGTTTACACACACTGGATAAAAAGACACACAACCTTTATTTTTTCTCACTGTCTGACATTAAATGTGTTTAAATGTTCTCTGTTTTAGATCAGTTAGGATTAACAGCATTATTTATATTTGCTAAATGCCAGAATAATGAGAGAGAGGTTTGTTTTACGACTTTCTTCAAAGTCAGAAGTTGACATACATTTCCTTTGGTAGCATTGCCTTTAAACTGTATGACTTGGCTAAAACATTTTGGGTTTCCTTCCACAAGCTTCTCACAATAGTTTGATGAATTCTGGCCCATTCCTCCTGACAGAACTGGTGGAACTGCTTGCACACACCTTTTCAGCTCTGCGCACACATTTTCTCCAGGATTGACATCAGGGTTTGTGACGGCCACTCCAAAACACTGACTTTGTTGTCCTGAAGCCTCTTTGTAGCTAATCTGGCGGTATGTTTAGGTTCATTGTCCATTTGAAGACCCATTAGCGCCCAAGCTTTAACTTCCTGGCTGATGTCTTGAGATGTTTCCTCAACATTTCCACATAATCTTCTTTCCTCATGTCATCATTTACTTTGTGAAGTGCACCAGTCCCTCCTGCAACAAAACACCCCCACAACATGATGCTGCCACCCCCGTACTTCACAGTTGGGATGGTGTTCTCAGGCTTGCAAGCTTCAACCTTTTACTTCCAAATGTAACAATGGTCATTAAGGCCAAACAGTTCAGTTTTAGTTTCATCAGATCACAATCCAAGTATAATAATAGTCATTATGGCCAAACAGTTCAATTTTAGTTTCCCAAGTCATACAGTTTAAAGGCAATGCTACCAAATACGAAAGAAATGTAAGTAAGCTTCTGACTTTGAAGAAAGTAATTTAAAAACTCTTTCTCTCATTATTCTGGCATTTAGCAAATAGCAATAATGTTGGTAATCCTAACTGATCTAAAACAGGAAAAGTTTAGTCTGATTTAACGTCAGATAGTGAGGGAAATAAAGCTTTTATACACTGTATGTACACTTCTGGTTTCAACTGTATGTTAATAACCAGGCTGAAGCCATGACCCAAGGATGCAGAAAGCACCATTTAGTTGAAGGTCTCCCATGTTTTTGGAATCACTCAGAATCACAGGTTAGACTTCGGATTGTGTTCGTGGCCGTTAGTGAGCGAAACATGGACTGGCCATCAGGAAGCTGGATTCTCCCTGTGGGCTGCTCTTGTTAGGGTTGGTATTTTTTTCCCAGTTTTAACAGCCTGTATGGATAAACATATTCAATGGGTCACGTTAGCTGCAGCGTCACAGTTGGAGAAACCAGCCATAGCAGGTAGCAGCAGCCATCACGACTGAAAGTATCCTCACTCGTTAAATGATTTAAAGATAAAAAACCTGCACTGCAGAGAAGGCACCAAACAAAGAAAGAAAGAAGGCTTCCTGGCTGACGCCTCAGAGTGTGTTGAGATATAACGGATTTATTTAAGCAGTCTGAAGGTGATGTGGTGAAGAGGCAGAATCATCAGAGAGGAGTGAGTGTGGAGCAGCAGCCTAATGAGCTGTTCAATTCAGACCAGACTGGTTTTGTTTAAATATTGCCAGTTCACAACATAACACGTCACACATCTCTGGGTAATACACATAGTAAGGTGAAGAGAACATGTTATGCAACCCAACAAATCCTAGTGATCCCCACTGAGCAGCTGTAAGGTGACTGTCCTATAAGGTAGAATAACAATAATATATCCAACATATTTGATACGCAGCCAAGGAATAAAAGCTCATCCATAATAAACAAATGTACATGGATCTAAACAAGACAGGTGAAGGATGAAGGAGCAGCATAGATCCAGTTAGAGGTGAACTACCGGATGATGCTGTGAAGTAGGGATGCACTGTGATCACATCGGTATCGGTCGATATTAGTGTTTTTTCTGATATATCGGTATCGGTCCGATGAACAAATTCAGCCGATGTGAAAAACCGATGATTTTCTGACATCAGCGCCTTCGTCTCTACATTTGATGTTGCTTCTATTTCACAGATGTTTTTACTTAAATGGTCCTGGACTTAAATATCTTAAAACATGTGTTACTTTTGTTACGTCATATAGAAGACTATGTGGTCTAATTTGGGCTGCTTTTAAATAGTTTGTCACGTTCTCACACTGCTTACTCATTTTTCGGTGTGAACAAAAATGTAATATCGACATCGGTAATATCGGTTATCGACGATATCAGAAATCTTAATATCAGATATCGGTATCGGCCAGAAATTTGAATATCGTGCATCACAACTGAAGTGAAGTAAACTAGAGCACAATACATCCTGAAGATGATCAGGTTGGACTTCTTTAAAGTTGTTTATTGTTGCATAACAAGAAACAGAGTGATGAGCGAGAGGTGCCAGCCGTCATTACAATAATTCTACTTTCCTTTCACTCATCAGGAGGAAAACCTCAGAATATTAGTTTTCTCTTTTGACATTTTAGTCTAACACAAACAAATCCAAATGAACAGATTGTGGGTTTTCTTTTAAATTGAGGATTCATTGATCGACAAACACGCTGTGTCACTTTGAATGTGGTGTATCAAAGTGGGGCCCTTGAACAGCAGATTCCTGGACTGCTTCTTGTTGCCAACCTGCCCCTGATGAAGCATGAGTGAAACACAAGCTGCTCCACAGCCGGTGTAGACAGCTGGATGGTTGCAGCGTGCATCAGTTCCTTCAGACGTGCACGAGGTGGATGTCACAAAACTGCTTCTGAACGACGTTCTGTGCAGACATGTCATGAGAGTCGCTCTGAGCCAAAAGTTAACAGGCTTACAATGGGAATGGCAGCGTGCCAGTTTGTAGAATGTACAATACTTACCACTTTATGCATGTTAGCATGCAACATTTGTTATTTAGCAAATTAACAAAGAGCTTATTTTGCCAAAAACAAATTTTCTAAATCCATCCTGAGTGGAACAACGCTGTCCTAATTTCACTGCAATCTGTCTAATAGCTGATGACCAGTGACGGACCAGCGCTGTCAGCACTGGAGCAAAACCACTGGACCGGCTGGAACAATAAAAAAACAACAAAAATTTAAATTAGAAATAGAATTACAAAAAAATTAAGTCAGATGTGTCTGTGGTTTATTAAAACACAGCTTAACTTTTCACACCTGCCAACATGTGTCTGAAAACACAACGTTGTCTGCTCCGTCAGTTGGCCTGAACCACATTATATTACCAGTAAATGTTTCTAACTGGCCAGAAATGCATTCTGAGGTCTTTTGTTTCTCCACCAGGATTCTCACTAGAAATTTTTGACAGCGTAGTGGGGTAGGATGTTCATGTGATCTCAGGATACGTTATAACACTGTCATTACCTGCCAAATATGGAAGTCGGAAACACGCGGTTGTATTCGGGGTTATGCTAATGACAGAATCTCTGTTGCCGATTGTGACTGACTACATTCGACCTCCGTTCTGTCCTGAACGAATTCATATCACGATGTGCACGTGGTCGTTTCTGTCAAAACAAAGCATACGCTGTTCGTTAGCAGCGAAGACGATGGTAGAGAAACAAGTTTCTGAGGAAAATTTGCACATTTTACTGGGAAGTATGTCAAATTTTCCAATCACACAGCTTGAAAGACGACGTAATGGACCAAGACACAACATGTTTTTTCAGGTAACACCGTAATGGAAATATGCTACATTTTTCATTCATTTAACAACTTTCTAATCATATTAATCAGTGAAACCTTGAGTAGCGAGTGCAAAGCTTCTTGATTTCTACAGATGTTATTTAGGTTAGAGCATGGAACGTTTTTCTAATGAAGTTATTGGGAAACAGCCTTCTCATCTGAAATGGATTCTGCTTTCATGATAACAGTGCGGATCCAGATGTTTGTTTGCAGTGCAGCTTGGAAATAAATTCAGTTGCATGATATTCTGTCATACATTTGCCAAGTTGCAGAACATTGCTGGAACAGAAAACACAATGGTTATCAATCGACACACGAACTAAAGTACTCTAATCCTCCTATTCTGCTTGAAAATTGTTTGCAATCTTAGTCTCAGTGGACCATATTTGACCAAGATTTGAATCTCAAATTCTAATTCAGTGAAATGTGTTATCTGCTGATTTGTTATTTATCTGTAACCATAATTTATATATACTTTGATATTTTATGCACCAGAAACTACATGTAATGCACAATGTACAGATCATTTACATATATATAAATGAGCAAAAATTGTATAATTTGTTGTGTTATGGATCAAAATTGGCCACATATATGAATAGCTGGGAAATAAACACAATAAAACTCATGAATAAGTGATATCTGTGGCAGAGAGAGTGAAGGATTCGGTTGAATTCAAGTCAGTTGGAATCCTCGGCTTGAAACGTAATTTTGATATTATTACAAAATACTATTATGCTCACTATTGCAGGATTTGATTGCTGTTTTTGTTTTGTTGTCATTTTCTGCGATTCATGCTGTTTTGGCAACATCTACATGTATTTGCTTTCATAAACGGTCCATAATTACTACCGGGACAAAACAAAACAAGAAGGAAAATGGTTAAAATGTGTTATTTAGTGAACCATCATTAAGGATTTAATGAAGCCTTGTTTTGATCATCAAAAATGAAGTAATGTTTTACACATCTCAGCTCAAAAAACGGGTCAAAACTTGCTCCGAAGACAATAGCGGGGTTCGTGGCTCTGCCTTAGTACAGCAGAAAAAGAATAATTACTCACTGATTCCTCATTTAACACCAGTACTAGCAGGTTTCAAATGAGCTTGATCCATCAGACGACTGACCCGCCATGGCACACAGGGGGCGAATGGCATCAGCACAGAGCAGTTATTCCAAGTTTTTTTTTTTTGCCTCCACCAGAGCAAAGACGCAGCGAAGGATTGAAGAAGACATGAATAATAACAAATAAAAATAAGCGAGCAAAAGTGCAGAGTAGATACTGTCATCTTTGTGAGAGGTTGCTTTGTATTCGTGAGATTCCCCTTGTCATGTAGACTAATGAGCCCTATTTTTGAGAGAGGCTTAGCGAAGAAAAAAAAAAAAAAAAAAATAGACTAATGAGCCCTATTTTTGAGAGAGGCTTAGCGAAGAAAAAAAAAAAAAAAACAACCGACGTGCCCCGGGGGCTGCGCGGTATACAGCAGCACAGTTTGTTGTCTACCTTTCTCATTATGTTCTCTGTTAAAATCCTACCAGCTTTGTTCAGAATGAAAGCAAATAAAAATAGAAAAAAAAAACGAGTGCAGCGTGTCGAACAATGCCTACTGATATCCCTACAGTGCACGCGGCGCCTCGTGGATATTACATCGGATTCCATTTAGCCCGTGAATGTAATTGCACATTTATGCTGTTTTCCCTTCAGATGGGCCAAATCAATCCCACCGTCAGACTCCACGTGGTCACTCTGGATGGCAGCTCGCTCACCACCGAGCTGAGGCCTCCTGACAGTTTTGAAAAGAGGTATGACGAGAAGAAACAATTTACGATGATGACTGGGTTATTTACATACTGATCTATGTCTCCGTCTGCCCCCAGCGAGTTCTACGTCACCATGGTGAAGTGGGCGACCCGGGAGAGGCTGAGCGTGCGCTGGGTGAACCGAGCTCAGAACATGTCGGTTCTGTCGCTGTGTGACGCCACGACAGGCGACTGCACAAAGGTAGGGACGTTCTCATTCTTCAATCCTGAGAATTTTCTAGCGGAAGGAGGTGTTGTGACCTGATCTGATCTGTGCTCTGCAGAAACATGTGATGACGTCAGAGAAGTGGCTCGATCGGCAGGTGAGTGCTTCATCGTCCATCGATTGCCCGGTTTCTCTTCAAGAATCGGCTTAATGATGTTACACCTCAGCTCTGCTAAAGGGGAAAGGGAAGGATGTAAAACCAAGTGTTCTCGGTTAGGTTAAGCAATTTACTGCTTAGTGGCATAAAAAAAAAATAAGGCGATAAAACAGGCTGGTTGCTAAATCTAAGAAAGAAATAAAACTAAACGAGGGCTAACAGAGTTTCTAAGTCGCTAAGACAAGCAAAAGAAAACACTTCGACCAAGCTTACAAGGCAGCAACAGCCCTGACTAACAAAAGTGATTAACCCCGCAAAGCCTGAACCGTGAAATAATTGTCAGAAAATTAGATTTTTTGGGAAAATGGAGTGATACATCTGACATTTTTGGCGCATGTGTTATAATCTATGGTTGATTATGTGTGCACTAAGTGTGTCTGACAGTATACATCAGGTTTTTCAGGCCAAATAAAGGTCTCAAAAACTCATGTGTCAAACCTGGTGCAGGCACAAGGAATAAGCTAAACGAATGAGCGCCTACGTATTAGCTCAGAGCTACGAGCGGCTGCAGAAAACACAAGACAACACCTGGAGTTAAATAAAACACAAGACACGAGTGGGACAGAGGGAAGCTGCTCATTTAAATCACGGCTGCCAGGCCTGAGAGTTTGGCTGCAGATTTACAGCAGGGTGTGGGAGCTGCTGCAGTTTGATTGGTGGAGGGAAATGTGTGGTGGTCCAATCAGCAGAGACGACAGGCAGGTGGGGTTTGAATGCTGCTCGGCTTTAGTCAAAAGTCCACACAAAGGAGCCACCACAGAAAAAAGAAAAAAAGACAAAGGCCACCAGAGGCCGTGACTTCATAGCCAAGTGATGAAGGCGCACATGCTCAGTGAGGCTTCAGCTCAGCTCCCAGCTGACTGGACTCTTCCTGCATGTCATTCCACTCATCTTTTTCTTCACATTTCTCTCTGCTGCCTGTGTCAAAGCAAAGAATGCCCAACAAATAATAAAAAATAACAGTGATGCTGTTCGTTTTCAATTAAAGTTCTTATGGAGCCCAGAGAGGGTCACAGTGAGAAGTTTTAGATTCATGCTATCTCACGTAATGCTGTACATTCTTCTTCTGAGTTGGACCATTCCAGATCACTGCAAAAATAAAAATTAAAAATTAAAAAATAGCATATTTGAGCTGTAGTGTATCCTAGGAAAAGCCTTTTCAAAGGAATCTCATTCAGCTGTCTGGTTGGTGATGGAGTCTACTTCTGTCAAATTATGTCTTTCTAAACTGGTTTTGTAATCGTTGGAAATGTGAAAATTGGGTTTACTTCTTCGTTGTGCACCCACATTTATTTACATTTATCTGCTGCAACATTACATCACATTACAATTACAGAAGAAGGAAAAGAGAAGAACTTAAGTGCAACAATACAATCCTGTTTAATAGTTTACATCTGAGTAAAGAAAACAGGGAGTCGACTTTACCGAAAACTTAAATTTAGCATCGGGAGCTGTTAACTTGAGAGAATCAAATGATTTAAGTACATCGAACCTAAACCAGAGGCACTAGTGTGAACTTAATTTTTTTTGCTTGTTACTAATTGAATTGATTCATTAAAGTTCAACAATTCTCTTTTTCAGTTTACAACACTGCAAGGATGCAGAGCTGATGTAACATTGATGTTCTTATTGCTCATTACTCATGTAAGAGGCTGATCTCTGACAGCATGCAGCTGCTGGTTTGGGTTAAAAGGCTCAGCGTGGCTGTGATGGTGGATGTATGATGACTGCTCAGCTATAATCGTAACAATTACAACAGAAACAGTGACAGCTATCATCCCAAGGCTGTATTCATGTTGTGTCTCAGTGAGAGGGCTGCTTCTCGAGGTTTCTTACCTAATGCGGTGATGTTGACCCGTATCTGAGCAGCTATGCTACTGTGTCATAGTTCAGCCCACAGAAAGAATCAGTGCATCTTCAGCTGTGACTGGAGCTGATACTACAGTCACACCTGTGGCATCTATGAGTGGTTACAGCACTGACTACATGCAGTGGTAATGTGTGTTTGCAGTGACAGTGTTGCTGGTTGAGAGTTCAAGTTCAAATAGTAAAAGCTGGATTTAACCGTAACTGAAGCAGCAGTGTGAGCAGTAGCCACATCCAGCAGCAGCTTCACTGTCACAGCAGGCAGAGCTGCGGCTGCTCAGCTGGATGCAGTCAGAGATCAACCTTTGAAAATGCAACATGAGCAGTAAATGCATCTCCTTCATCTCTCCACTCTGCAGAGAGTTTCTCTAAACTGCC